TTTAACTCTATAAGTCCCAAAAAGGCTATTTCATGCTAGGGATCCATGAAACCATACTTTTCTCTTATCCTACCAATTTTCAAATACTTTCTATATTTGCTCTTTAATGCTCTCTTATTGATTGTTTATCAAAAGACACCACGGTGGTCTTGATCTTACCAATTTATCCATGAATTGTAATGAATAACAAGAAACCCTTCTTCTATCTATATTTATCTATCTACATTTTTCTTCTAGAAATTTATTATTCCCTGGACTTTCCAGCATTAACTCTATTTAATTACTTCTCACTATGTCAAAAATATCTTTCATTAAAATATCTTTCATTAATAGTGGTGCATCTGAATTAGGATGATTAAAGGATTTCAATAAAGGCAGTGACAGCGGTGTCAAGGACACCAGGTGCTTTCTGGGCCCCTGAAAGTCCATGATACAGTGACAGAAAGCTAATAGCAAGTAAAAGCATGCCAAGTACACTGCATGTTTTTTAGCACAGCCAATTCCAAGAGGCAACCTTCCTTGAAGTTCCAGCCTCAACCCACGGAGGATCTCACGCAGGCTTCATTGGAGATGGTGAAACTGAGGAGGTGTGGGAGAGAGGCCAAGAAGTGGGCCTTCCGCTCTGACCTTCAGTAGCTTCTAATAATAAAAATGTTTAAAAGTGAAAAATAAAATCATTTAAAAACAGATGCTTATAATGGCATAAAGAATGAAAAAAATGTATTGGTAAAACTCAATACAGTATAACATTTAAAATCTGTCAAAATGATCAATACTCAATACTCTTAGACACCAAAGTAGTACTTTTCCTTGAAAACATACTGGCCAGAAAATACTACTACAGTGCTCGTGATTACTATATTTCCTTGAGACTGATGGCATCATCATATTGAGTATATTTTGTTAATATAGATTTACAAAATTTACTAAATGAGTAACTGGAAATATCAGTGCATATGCATATTACTTTTCTGTTGCCATAAAACAACCATGACTGAAAATGACTTGTGGAAGAAAGATTTTATTTGGCTATGGTTCAGAGTGCTGAGGATCCATCATGACGGACAGGCACGGCAGCAAGCAGCTGGAGCAGGAAGCTAGGCGCGCAAGTGTCCCACCGCACGCATGGACATGGGCTGAACTAGAAGTAGGATGGTGAGACCAGCTCCCAAACCCCAGTGATACACCACCTCCAGCAAGGCCATGTTCCCTAAACCTCCAAACAGCATCACCAACAGGAACCAAGTATTCAGTTCCTGGGCCTATGGGAGACACTCTTCTTTCAAACCACCACATTGCACTCCCTGGCCCCCAGAGGCGCATAGCCATCCCAGAACGTAAAATGCATTTTGTCCAACTTCAAAAGTCCCCATAGTCTTTAACAGTCTCAACGCTGTTCAAAACTCCAAAGTCTCTTCTGAGATCAAGGCAATCTTAACTGTGACCTCCTGTAAAATCATAAAGCAAATTAAATTCTTTCAATGTCAATGGCATGGAAAGCACGTTCCCGTTCCCAAAGGAAGGAATCTGGGCAAAGGAGGGAAAACACTGGGTCAAAGCAACATTAAGGCTCCACAGGTTCTGAGAGGCAATCAAGGGCTATGACAGCAGCCTGTGTTATTTTGGGAGTGTCTTGGAGGACCCTGCCCAATGACTCAAAGGGAGGTTTTGCCTGTCTAGTACTGTGCTGTTTTGGTTCTATAGCCTTAAGCTATACGCATGCAGGTGTAGCTATGAGTGTTTTTCATTAGGATTTTTAACTAATACAGTTCCCTCTGGTTTTTACAGCATCTAGGCATTATTTACCTCTCCTTTCCCTCCTCCTGTACACCCCTCCCTCCCCCTCCGCAGTTCCTCCCTCTTTCCCCATTTTCCCTTAATAACACCTGTCTCCTACTGTCCCCATCTCTCCAGCTCCTTCTTCCCTTTATTTCATGGTTCCTTTCCATTTTCCTGGCTCCTGCGGTGGCATTAGGATATAAACTCACATCTCCACATCTCGGGCATTGGAGATAAGATCCACAAATGAGAGAGAACACATAGGGTAATGCATCTCTCTGCTCTTACCAGAGAAGTTTCCTTATACAGCAGATGGTAACACAGAAACCCACAACTGGCCACTGTGCAGAGAACAAGAGGCCTCAGGGTGGTCATCTCTGAATAGGACACATTTCAAACCTCGGCCTCCCAAGGCTCAGAGATCATTGTGGGAGAAGGGACAGAAAGATTGTAAGAGCCTAAGTGGGCAGATGACCACAAGGAAACAGTCTTCCAGACAGCTGGTCAGTTGCTCATATGACTTCACAGCAGTGGTGACAACATGCACAAGTCCCATGCACACTCAAGTCAGACAAAAATCCCAGCATGGATGTGGGGAAGTGGGTAAGACATCCCAACCCAACCTAAGGAACTTTTGGCAACTGCTGACTGCTGGCAGATGGATGGCTGTCACAATCTATGTTAATACCCAAAGCAGGAGCATAAGCCAAATGTTTCCACTCAGTGGTTCCTTTTTCAGTACTGGGGGTTGAGCTAGAGCACTTTACCACGGAGCAGCATCTCCAGCCCAGGTTTTACTTTTTCTTTTGACATAGGTCTCACCAAGCTGCTCAGGCAGGTATTAAATTTGTATTACTCCTGCCTCGGCCTCCTGAGTGTCTGGGATTATGAATCTGCATTACCAGCTATGGATTAGTGCATTTAAAAAAAAAAACAAAAAACTCCATGTTGTAGATGCACATACAGAAATGGCTGTAATTACAGAGAGGACTTTTTGTATCTAAAATTCTAATGCTAGGTGGAAGGACATAGTCTTTTAAAAATGGATTCATCTAAGGAGAAAAACTGATTTAGCAAGGCAGTAGGTAAAGGTATTTTGCAATAAATTTTCTCTTCAATTTTAACTTAAGCTCTACTAACCTATTGACTTTCAAATTGTTTCTATTTAAATGAAAACTACAAGTTATACATGAAATAAGGATTATACATAATAGTACGGTTCCATGGAATGTTGTAATACATGTATATATTGTACAATATTTGAATCAGATTAAATAGGACCTGTGTCTTCAAACACTTACTGTATCTTTGTGATGAAAATGTTCAATATCCTTTCTTCTAATTTTGAAATATACAGTATTGTCATTATCCATAGTCACTCTGCTGTGCACAGAGGCCTCTTCTGACTGTAGCTTAGAACCCGTGGACAGGCTGATCAATGAATGGTACCTTTGGAATTATTGATGTCAACAGTGAAACGTGGAGCAAATACCACTCAAAACAATTATACATATTTAATAATATTTAATCAAATACACATGAAAGATAGAGAATCTATGAAAACTGTGTCATGGTGGTTTTGAAGTTACAAACCTAAATGCTCTCTTACTGTCCCTATAATAGTTTGCTTGCAGTATGTCAAAATGTTAACCAAATTACACATATGTAATATGATTAAAGTGAGAAAAATGTAAACTTGTTTACATTTCAGATCAATCTGTACTTTCTGATATTTTATTTCTAGATATGTTTTTTGTTAAAAAGCACTTCAGTAAACATCAAGACAACTGGCTGATTCTGAGTTTCTTCATTTTACTGCCATTTTTTATAACTTTCATCATTGCCGTTGTGAAGAGAAATGAAAGAAAAATCTTGCCTCAGAGAGAACACAGACTGTGATGGGTAAATACGACTCATAGTATTAACTTATTTGGTTAAATTGTTCTGGGTTTTGGATGGTTTAAAATAGATTCATACTTATATTATATAACATCCGTTGCTTTTGATTCCTAAATATGCACCATTTTCTTTACCTATATAAAGCGATTTCTTATAATTTCCTTTTTCAATATTTGACTGTCCTAGAATTTTTTCCTAGTTGCATTCCATATTTCACCAGGAACATAGTCAGCCAAGATTTTTTTGTATTAATTAGTCAGATAAGATTATTATCTATGCATCTGTCAAGCTGTACCTAACCCAGGTAAGAGCTGACCTTCAAGAAAAACTTTTTCTAGTGTAAGAGTTATATTAAAACTTGCATTAATAAATTATTTGACCTTCATAAATCTTTTATATTTAGCTCAAATGCTATAAAAACCTTGTTTTAGAATCCTCTGAAAACTTACACTGTTTCCTGTATTCAGACACCATGTTTTTACATTTGTGCTTCTTTCCTGACAACCAAGCATTTCACTCACGATGGTTTAAAAAAAATTATGCTTAAATGAAATGTGAGTGTCTTAGTCTTTTTTCTGTTGTCATAACTACTGAAGAAAAACCAGTGAATCATGGAGTTATCAGGGAGTCTTCCAAGCCTAGTGAGGAGCCCAGACTGCTGGCCTCCCTGTCACGATGGCCTCTCTCATACCTCTGGAAGCATGAACCAAAATAAACTCTCTCTTCCATAAGTTGCTTTTGGTTCTGGTATTTTACCACAGCAACAAAAATAACTGACATATTAACTTTGAAATACAATTTGAATTCAGGGCGCCTCCAGCTCTGTTCTATTTTTTTCGTGATGTTTTGTTTACTTGCCATCTTCTATTTCTACATGTTTTTTCCCTATTTTTGTGAAAAACACTATGGGAATTCTGATAGTTATTGCATTAAATCTTTGAATTTTTGTTTTGCTTCTATTTTATGTGCATGAGTGTTTTATCTGTGTGTATGTAGGTGCACCCATGCCATTCAGTACCTATGGAGGACAGAAGAGGGTGTTGGATCCCCTAGAACCGAAGTTACAGAAGGCTCTTAACTGCTGAATCACCTCTCCAGCCCCTCATTGAATCTTTAGATAATTTTGGGTACTGTGGATGTTTTAACAGTATTGATTTGCCTGATCCATGGACACAGGAGAAATTTATATCTACTTGTCATCAGTTTCTTTTGTGCTTACAGCATCCACTGTAAAGATCTTTGACCTCTTGGTTAGCAAAACCCTATCTCAAAATTAAAATTAAAAAATGTTTGAGGATGTACCTCAGTGGTAGAGAGCACTTGCCTAGCGTGTGTGAGACCCTGGGTTCCAATCCCCAATGCTACTAAGCAAAACTACCACAATAATAAAAGAGTTTTCCAGAGCTGCACCTTAAATGTATATAAATTCTGTCAATTATAACTCCAAAAATCTGGGGGAAAAAAAAAAAAAGAAAAACAGAAGCAAAAACAAATCTAGTTTATTAGCTCTGGCAATACCTATTAAAGTGTTCTAGGCTGCTTCATTAAGTGCTAAGTGGTTCTGATCACTTCAGAGAGTGCAGTCTGTTCTCTTGCAGTGAGAAGACAGTAACCAGACTTCTCTTCAGTTGAACAGCATAATTTTCCAGAAAGAAATTAGTCATGTTAATTAATTCAATATTTAAAATATAACTATAGCTTAAAATATTTTACCCCCCCCCCCGGGGGGGAACTCATTAAAAATTT